CGGTGAGCAGATTTCGTACCCCATCTTTCCCTATCCCCGTCTTGCGTTCGGCCCGCAGGGAACAGAGTACTTAGAGGAGGGGGAAGCAATGCAGGAAGGCGCAAAGGAGGAGGAAGAGGAAGGGCGGCGGCACGATGCAGACTACGAGCTCGTGCGCCCGCGCCCGGCCCGCGGCGACACACGGGCCGGTGCGCCTGGTGGCGGGGGAGAAGCAAGTTGCGGGGGCGCACCGCCGTGGGGAGGCGCGGGTCACAGAACCCGCGGCACCATTCTCCGACCGCTCAGCAGGGCAAGGGTGGTCGACGCGCCGCTCGGCAGAGCGAGCCCGAAAGACCCGGGCCGTGCGACGCCGCAGTGCGCGCGGAAGGCAGCGCCGTCCAGCCGAGGGGGAGGGGCCATCCCCGACGGCGCTGGGAAGGAGGGGCCTGCGCCGTCTGGCTGGCGCAGTGCGGCGCCTCGCTGGCGAACACAAGGCCCGGCGGGCCCCGCGGCACGGGCCCGCGAACCTCCACGGGGCACTGGGGACCGCTCAAAAAGGAAAGCGGAATTGCTAAGAGAGGAAAAGAGGAGAGCAGAGAGCAAGGCGTAGGGAGCAGAGCTGACCCCGCCCGAGCTCCGTAGGATTAACTCCGAGGCGAAGAGAACCTTCGTGTGCCGATGGGGCAGCGGATGAGGAGAGGAAGGAGACGATAGAGGGTAAATACATGCACAGGGGGGGAGAGAACGCCGAGGGGCAGCCCCTAAGAAACCCCGTGGGCCACGAGGCGCGCGGGCCCACCGGGGCCCCGAGCTGGGGGCCGCAGGCACGGGCATGGCAAGGCCGCAGCGGGCAGCGGCGCGGCGCCTCTCGCGCGCGGCTGGACCTCTGCGGCGGCGGCCAGGCCCGCCACAGAGGCCGCGGGGGGCGTCGCCGCGTGGCGGCCCCTGCATTGGCAGGAGAGCGTTTATTCATTTTCGGCGATGACCGGCGTCAGGGGGGGGGGGCAAGGGGGGGATATGACGTAACGCCCCCCCCGCCATGTGGCTCCGGGACCACAGCCGCACCCGCGCGCACGACGACGATGAGCGACGAGCGACGAGCGACGAGCGACGAGCGACGAGGACGAGGACGACGCGAGCAGCATGCAGGTGGCGATCTGCCCCGCACCGCCTGTGTACACCACAATGCTCGCGTGCACCACAACGCGCGTGTACACCACAGCGTCTGCGTACACCGCAACAGCCGTGTGCAACGCAGCGCCTGTGTACACCACAATGCTTGTGTGCGCCACAGCGCCAGTGTACACCAGAGTCAATGTGTACACCGCAGCAACCATGTGCAACGCAGCGCCTGTGTGCACCACAGTGCTTCCGTGCACCGCAGCGTTAGTGCACACCGCAGCGCCTGTCCACACTACAACATCCGCGTGCAACGCAACGTTGTACACCACAATGCCTGTGTGCACCGGACAGGTGGAAGGAGCATGTCGGTGAGGATCTGCTGCGGACAGCTAAACGCCACACCAGGGAAGTGCGGCTAATAAAATGCGACGCTCTTCCCTCCTCCAACTCCTCCTCCTCCTCCTCGTCCTCCTCGTCCTCCTCCTCCTCCCCCCTCACCCTTCCCCCCTGTCGTGCAGGTCGGCGCTACAGCGTACGTGCGCATCTCAGCGTGCACCGCAAAATGGTTAACTCAATCAGTCCAGTTGGCTCTCGGACAGCCAATTTTGCTGGAGCCTCCTGGACGCAGATGGGAGGACTTGGGATGCTGCGGGCGGATTCGGGAGGAGTCGTATATTCCAGTGGTTCTCATTTGTCCATACAGATTCCGTTCCACATCCTATATAACAAACTGTTTCCTGTGGAATCAACAGGCGCTCCATTGTGTCATACGGATTCCTCATAATACCTTTATGCAACAAAAGTGTTCTGTTGCACACGGTTGCCGTGGTGCGCGCCGTGGTGTACACAGGCGCTGTAGTGCACGCAGGCATTATGGTGTACACTGGTGCTATGTTGCACACGGCTGTGGTGTACGCAGGCGCTGTGGTGTACGCAGGCCCTGTGGTGCCCGCAGGCACTGTGGCACGCACTGGCGCTGTGTTGCACGCGGCTGCTTTGGTGTACATAGGCGGTGTGGTGTACACAGGCGCTAAGGTGCAGATCGCCATCTACGTGCTGATGAACCCCTCTTCGGTCACACCTAAGCAGTCCCAGACGCCGCCGGCGCGAAACGTAACGTCTTGGGCCCCCTCCACTCCCACCCCCCGAATGATTGCCTTTCATCGGCCTGCATCTTTAATAAAAAAAACTCCAGCCGCGTCCGTGGGCACGACGACGATGAGCCATGAGCGACGACCACGACGACGACGACGACGACCACAACGACGACCACGACGACGACCACGACCACGACGACGACGACGGCGACGACGACGACGACGACGACAACGACGACGACGACGACGACGACGACGACGACGACGACGACGACGACGACGACTGCGGACCAGACTCCTTCGCGGATTCCTGTGCGGACACCTATACGGATCCCGATGCGCACGGCGGCGGTGCACGGATCGCACCGGGCGGGGGAGCGTTATGTCATAGAGGGGGGGTGGGGGGGCAACGTCGCTGCCCGTCATGCCCCAAGCAATGAAGAAACACTCTCCAGGGTAACGGCTGCGTGGGCAACGGCGCTGCGCGGCGCCACAACAACGGCGACCCCAACAGGGCCCATGCCGCTGTAGTCCGCTGCCCTGTGGGTCCCGGGCGGGGTGCCCCGTCGCGATCCAGTCGGCGGGCTCACGGCGTGGCAGAGGCCGCTGCCGCGAAAAGCCGCCGAAGTTCTGGAGAAACTCGGGGTTGGGGCTGGGATGGATGGCGAGGGCAATTCTCGCATGCTCAGCAGCAGCCCTATTGGCGACAACAAATCTAAACAATATGATCGCAGAGCAAGTTGCTAACCTCTTCAGGGTTCTGGGAGATTTCTTCGCCGGTTCCCCCAAAAACGTAACAGTCACTCGAAACCGTTGGGGGGGAACCTCAGAGGGATCGTAGACGAAGAGCCCCATTTGTGAGCATGAAAAGCATGACTTGCTACGGCTAATTACCTGCAGGGAGCCATCTGGTACCCCACGGACGCATCCACGATGCGTCGGCGACGCCAGCGATGCATTGACGCCGTCGGCGTGGAGAAAATGGGGCTCCACATCGAGCCGCACCGGCGATGCATCGGCGATGCCCGTGCAGATCTCCTCGCAGCCTGGGAGGCCCGGGGCAAGGAGCGGGGGCATCCCGGCCCAGGGGCCACCTTGCTCGAGACTCCGCATGGGCGGGCGCACCCCGGCCTCGCCTGGCCGCTCCTCGCCGCGCTCCGGCCAGGCCTCCCTCTTGCACTCGGCCGGCCGCTCGCACGAGATGTCGGCTCATGCCGGTTCCCGCGCTCTCCGCGCGTGCACACAGAGGTGCAGTCGTTGCACTGCCAGGGCAGGAGCGCCACAGAAGGAGCGAGGGGGGCCTTCCAGGCCCCGGCGGGCCTCGTCGACGGACAGGTTCCCCCACCTACGCGTCGTTCATTTCTACTCGTGCTCGCTTCTGAGTGTGCTCGTTCCTGATTGTTCCTGGCCCCCCAGTGGCCAGGAAGAGGGGGGGGGGCGCCGGCCCCTGTAGTTCGTCCGATCGATTGAAGCAGGTGCTAAAATCAGCCCGGAACTTCTCTACGGGGGGGGGGAGGGGGGGGGAGGGGCGTTCCGCCGAAAGCAAAAAAAATAATAAAAGAATGCTCACAGGTCCAGGACAGAACGATTGGAAATGAAAGGATCTTGGCCCCCCAAAAATCAGAGAACTGTCGAACCAGTAGGCATGAAACCAGTGTGTAGACCTCAGGGGCGGCCCGACGGCCCGAGCCCCTCCCGAGCCCCAAAGTGGGCCTCCTGCCAGTGCCTCCTCGGCACAGGCAGGGCGGCACACCACCTGCCTCGCTCGAGCCATCCTCCACAGATTCTGAAGAACAAGCGTCTCGCTCGAGACATCCTCAGCTTCTGAACTCGCCGGCACTATAATTAGGCGACCTCGTCATTCCTCGCGAAAGAGAGTCGCCGGCCCTACAGCCGTCGGTTTCCGCAGTGCGAGTGCGCCTCCTTCTCTTCATCCCCTTCTCCTGGGGGCAGTGCTCCGTCCAGGACGCCGCGAACTACCACTTGGCGCTCTCCCACTTCGGCCTCCAGGGGGGCCGTGTTCGGGCCCCAGGGCCATCGCAAGGGGATCCCGGACGGAGAACTGCCCCCAGGAGAAGGGGATGAAGAAGGAGGAGGAGGAGGAGGAGGAGGAGGAGGAGGAGAAGGGGGGGTAAACCTCTAAAAGGGAACCCCGTGGGCCCACGCAGTGCGCGTGCGCGGGGCGTCTGGAGGGGCAGGGCGCGGGCCTCTCGGAGGGCGCTGGCCGTGCGGAGACGGGCTGCGGAGGCGCGCGAGGCCCGGATCTCCGACGTCGCGACCTCCTCCAGCACATACCATGTGACGAATACGGCGACTCGTTTCGAGGCAACGATGGCGCAATGCACAGCAACGCACATGATTGCGGTCGAATTCGTAGACATGTGTGTGGGGGGATACGTCCTCGAAAGGGGTTCCAGGGGGGTTATAATTTCAGAGGGGGTTTGCTCGCCGGCGACAGAGGGCCCCCCCCCCCGGGGCCCATGAGCCTCACTGCCCGGGTGCCCCAAAAGGCCTCCAGAGCTGTTCCGAGAGGGCCCCTAAATGGCACAAAAGAGCTTGCCGAGCCAAGACGGTCCCACATCGAAGCATCCGCGAGTGCACCTGTGGCTCACTCCTGGGCCCGCTCGGGCGGATCCCGCTGTTCGGGTTGACGGCTGCTTCCCCCCACTTTGCTCCACTGCATGCTCCCACACGTCCCCCTGGGCATCGCTCCTGGCTGGGCCGGAGGGATACGCACGGCGCCAGTGCATCCAGGCTCTCAGAAGCAAACGGCCTGCTCGGCAAGCTCGCCGGACCAACGACTTTTCGCGCCTGCGTGCGCTCCCTCCCCGGCTGCGTGGCCGGAGGCTCCCTGAACTGCGTCGCCCATCACGGGCACGGGCGCCGCTACAGAGACTCACTGAGGCTGCCGACTGGTGCGAGCAGTCCCCCCCAGTCCCTCCCAAACTCTTCCCGTTGCGGGTGCGGCCGCGAGAGCTCATTGTGGCTGCCGGCTCGTGCGAGCAAGCCGAGCGCTGCGGTGATGCGGGCGTCCTCCCCCCTCCTGTTCCGTCCCCTCCCAGGGGGAACGGACGATAAGATAGGACGTCGTTGTCCTCGTCGCCGCCACCGACGTCGTCGCCGAACGAAGGTCGTCAGGTCTAGGTGAACGGGGCCACAGCTAAACCGGGCCACGGACATGGCGTCCAGCCTGGGGCCCAGCGAGCGGGAAATGAGAAGGGAAGAAGAGAGGGACAGGAGAGGGAGAAGGGAAGAAGAGAGGGGGAAGGAGGGAGAGGGAGCCATCAGGCCGCCGCTCAGATGCTTGACATTCCTCGGGTGAGCGCTCGGCCCGGGGTCACTTCAAGGTCAAAGGTCGAAGGCGAATATTCCAAACAGTGCATTTGCTTCACAATGTCTCTGTCAATATGACGTAACAAACAACATTGCAACTGTTGTGCCGTTCCGTGCAGGTTTCCTACACTAGCACCCCTCTAGACGGGGGTACACCGTATGAAACAAACAACAATTGCTGCAGTGCACGCGCACTTTTCTGCAAGCCAAATATACAGACTTTACAAACTCTAACGAAGCGCTCCGACCCAGGGCCACCAGACTTCGAACATGCATCGTCTTGAGCGGTGTTGACGCGCACTGACATGAAACGTGCGTGGCGAGGTCAATCGATTGACTGCGACCCGAAGCGTCGTAGAAATGATTCGCCAACGGCATTGTTGAAGCTGGGTGTTCTGAACCGAAAGGACCTCCACCGAAGCTCCCAACTCAGATTGCAGGGAAAGTGCCTGCCCGCATTGGTTTCTTATGGCCCCATTTGATGTGCCCACGTCCCTGCCGCTGGTGGTCCCCGGAGGCCTCTGAAGGTCTCCGGAGATCCCAACCACAATAGAAAAGGTCAAGGCAACTACTACAGCAGGGGCCCGACCACAAGAAACCTTCCACAAGAAACCCAACCCAACCCTGAGACCCCAAGAACCCCCCAAAAAAAACTACATAAACATAAACGTTTGGCGCTCCGCGCGGGTTTCTTGGATTCGCGCTGGACCCCCCTCCCTGGCGCGCGGAGCGCGCCAGGGGGCGGCACCGGAGGCGCCGCCGGGGTGCGCAGGCGCGGATCAAGGAAGTCGGCGCGGAGCGCCAAAAATTTATGTTTATGTTGTTTTTTCTTCTTCGAATACCGTCGGGCTGCTGAGACAAGGAACGCTAGGCAAGGATCGAAGCACCTTTCTGGCCCTAAGAGCGCCTGCGCGGACGAGGAGCGCTAGAGAAGCAGCCACGGAAGGACCCCGAGGAACATCGAGCCACCTCCGAACCCGGATGCACTCTGGCGTCTCGGCTGCGCACGGCGCGCTGCAAGATGTATGAAGATCGGGTGCATGTGGGGGCACGACACGTGCGAGAGGGTGTGCACCACATTGGGCACAGAGGGCGGCACGCGCTCGCGCCCTGGGGTCATAGGTGGAGCCCCCCGTGGAAGCACAACACGTGTGAGGATGTATGCCGAATGAGTGCGGGGCGGCATGCATGTGCGCCCACTGGGGCCGTAGGTGGAGCTCCTTGCGGGGGCACAATGCGTGTGAGGATGTACAGCTGGGGCGTTGACCTAAGGAACGATAAATAAGGAACGAGGCCCCTTTTTTCCTTAAGTTTAACTTCTATTCCCGATCGAAAACCAAAGGTGAACCTATAGGCAATCAGTAACACCTCTAAGGAACACGGAGCCCCTCCCAAACGAAAAGGGTTCCTTCTTCAGGCCCCCGACTGTATGCCGACATGGGTGCGGGGCGTGGCATACACCCACACTCACTGCGGCCGTAGGTGGATCTCCCTTTAGTGGCACGCCACGCGCGAGGGGTGTACCGACATGGGCGCGGCTGGCATGCGCCCAAACCCACTGTCGCCGAAGTGGAGCTGCTCATCGGGCACGAAGCGTGAGAGAAGTGTACCAAGTTGGGCGCCGGGCGGCATACGCCCGCACACGCGATAATCGTAAATCAGGCTCCCCATGATGGCACGAAACGTGCGAGGGGTGTGCCGACATGGGCGCGGGGCGGCATGCGCCCACACTCACTGAGGCCGTACGTGCAACTCTGTAGAGTGGCACGAAACGCGCGAGGGTTGTGTCGACATGGGCACGGGGCAACATACACTCACCCCAACTGAGGCAGGCCGTACGCGAAGCTCCCTGCAGGAGGACACGAAGCGTGTGAGAAGTGGGTGCGCCACAGTGGGCGCGGGGCGACATGTGCCCTCACCCACAGAGAACGTAGGTGGAACTCCCCTCTGGGGCGCGAGACGTGTGATGGGTGTGCCGACGCGGGCGCGGGACGGCTTACCCGCGCGCTGCCTGAATCCGTAGGCAGAGCTCCCTAGGGGGGTAGGACGAAGGGGAGAATGGGTGCACACACACACACGCACACACACACGCACACACACACACACTCACACACACACACACACACGCACACACACACGCACACACACACACACACATATACTCAAATGGGCGCGGGGCGGCCCCACCCGCGGAGGCTGTAGGTGGAGCCCCCATCCGGGGGCACGAGGCGTGCGACGGGGGTGCGCCACACTGGGCGCGGGACGGCACACACCCACACCTACGGAAACAGCGGTTGGAGCTCCAGGTGGATGCGCACACGCGCGAGGGCGTGCGCTGAAGCAGGCGCGGGGCGGCATACCCCCCCCCCGCCCGCACACCCACACACGAACTGAGGCCGTACGTGGAGCTTCCGCTGGGGCCACGGGGCGGGGGTGTGCAGAAGTGGGCGCGTGGCGGCAGGGCACGCACTGAGGCCGTGGGCAGAGCTCCATCAACGGAGGCAGGTGTGCCGACATGCGCGCGGGGCGGCATGCGCCCACGCGCACCGAGACCGTAGGTGAAACTCCCCGTGGAGGGCGTGACGTTTTCCGGAGATAGGCGAGGCGCTGCGTACCCCCACACCGACCGAGGTCGTAGGTGAAGCTCCCTACGAGGGCACGAAATGTGTAGGGTACCTGCCGAAATGGGCAGCCCATGTTCTTTACACATATACCCAAGCGGTCGACAGAAGCTGACCGCGGGAAAAAGTTCGGACTCATGACATCTCCCGATACCGGTTTTAGGATGATGCTACGTCGCCTATCACGGAATTCGCCCTGCCCTGAGAAGGTTGTGGTTGTGACTTTTGAGGTCCCCCGCGGAGGGACCATATTGTGGATCAGGCCTCCAATCCACAGGATTGTTTATAGTTCGGGGCCGGAAGTCCGCGCGAGGTTCCGAAAGTTTATGTTTATGCTGTGTCTTTCTTCTCAGGATTGTCCAAGCACGGCCACCTATTATACGCAATGCACTCGGAGCGGGACGATTCGATACAAGAGCAGCATCGCAGCAAGAACGGCAAACCCCGCTCACCAATGCGCACAAAAGGTTGGCAGCCTGCGCTGGTTCGCGGGACGAGCACCAGCAGCATGTAATGTTGTCGTTTTGCCTGCAGTTCTGTCAAGGCCCACAAAGAAAGCCCTGCACCTGCTCTGCCGGGACAGAGCCGACACCCGAGCCCCGTCGAATCGGCCACCGCTCTCCTCCAGAGAAGACGCGCAGCGCCGCGCACACATGTAGCGAGGGCCCCACAGCACAGGATGGCCGGGGAAACAACTTTGCTGGTCAGCAGCGGTGGAGGCGATCGCACCGCGGTCGGAGCGCGGAAGAGAGCAGGAGAAGGAGGAGGAGGAGGGAGAGAAGGAGGAGGAGAAGGAGGAGGAGAAGGAGGAGGAGAAGGATGAGGAGGAGGAGGAGGAGGAGGAGGAGAAGGAGGAGGAGGACCCGACGTCGTGATTTGTCCTTGACGTCAGTGGCCGCAGGCCGTTCTTGGACCGCCTCGAGGCCCGGCAGTGGCACCCAGGGGCCGAAGAGGGCGACACGCCTCGGGCCGCAGCCGCGTGTGCCTTGACGCGAGGGGATCTGGGAAAGGGGAGAGGAGGGGAGGCGGGCAAGGGAACACGCATTAGACGCCCGAGTTATCCGGGGTAACTCGGGTCCGGGGTAACTCGGGTTTGGGTTCCCGAAAAACGAACCCGAGTTAGCCCTGACCCGAGTTACCCCTGATGATTCGGGGCCCTGGACGCCCGAAATATCCGGGGTAACTCGGGTCCGGGATAACTCGGGTTTGGGTTCCCGAAAAACGAACCCGACTTAACCCTGACCCGAGTTACCCCTGATGATTCGGGGCTCTGAACGCACGTTCTGCAAGCTGGCCGAGAACAGACGGTCCGAGCCAATGAATCACGGAGGGTGGCCAGGGAGGCTCGAGGCGCGCTGCGGTGGCAGCTTGTTCTCCGCGCCGTCCACCCCGCAGCCGCAGCACTCTGAGCTCGAGGGGCGCTGACGGCCAGCCCTGTCTTCGAAGGACCTGTAAAATTTCGGTGGCGAGCCTAGGGGGGCAGCGAGAAGGGGCAGGCCTTCTCAGAAGGCGGCGGGGCTTCTCAGAGGCCCTCGCGCCTTCTGAAACGTTTTCTGCGCCTTCTCCGAACGAAGGCACAAGCGGCTTCTCAAAGAACGCTCTGCCTGCTGAGAAGCCCCGTTGCCTTCTGAGAAGGCCCGGGCTCGCCGCCAAAAGTTGCTTGAGGCAACAACGTGCGAGCATACCGTTTGAGATCAGCGCAGGCCCCAGCAACGTAAGCGTGACCCCTCGCAGGAGTGACCTTTGGTGCTGACCCCAAGGGGGCCAAGACATTTTTCTTCGGGATTGAGCCCGACCTCGCGTCGGCGCCCGCAGCGTGCGGTTGCGCTCTCACCTGAGCGCGCCGTTCCCAGACCCCCGGCGGCATGATTGTTTCACAACGTCGACCCCCAGAGGTCTGGACTCCTTCCCCAGGACTGGTTTCTCGTCCCGATGTGTTGCTTCACGGTGCAAGGGCCCGGCGAGGGCCTCCAGAGGCAGAAGATGGCGACAACAACTCTCGTCGTGTCTTTGCACGTCGCGAGGGGGTCTGAGTCTGAGATCATTGGTCGACCAAATACAACACCGCACCACCTTACCTATGGCACGC